ACACACACACACACACACACACACACACACACACACACACACACACACACACACACACACACACACACACACACACACACACACACACACACGATTAGTGCCACACTGTGACACACCCAGATGTACTCACGAACCTTCCTACCCATGCAAAGTGTCTTGAAAGCCAAAGTGCAGCCATGTTTGCATCGTTTATGTAGATCAGTCCCTCGCAAAGAAGTCTGTTTATATTCTGGACTAGAAATTGTATAATTAAAGCAGAATTTATCCTAATATAGTTGTTGGAAAACTCAATAATATATCAGTTTGGGGACATTACGTTTTGAAAACCTTTCCGTTTAAATATGCAAATGAGGCATTTCCCTTTTAAATGTGTGCTTATTTGCTTAGATCTTTGTTCACTGCGCTGACAGCAGGACGTTTTGAATGGTATCAAAGAAGCTGAAATATGGGGTTGATATTGATGGGGGAACTCACGCCTGGATGAGCAGCTGCACCAGGCCGGTGTGTCCACAGGTGGCAGCAGCGTGCAGCGGTGTCCACAGCTCACTGTCACACGCATTCACACAGCCACCAGCGTCCAGCAGGCACTGCACGACCTCCACAAAGTCATCTATGCAGCACTGAGAGGGAAAATACATACGAATACACAGACAGCGTTAGAGAAAGGGATATCTATGCATTATTATTTATGGAAACTAATACACTTGCTTGAGTCAAATGTGCATGCGTGGCCCAGCCCTCTGCTCTGTAAACACTGACGTTTTCCAAGGGGAAGAGCAGAGGCGACGGCTTTTATAAAGAGTTCTCTGTGCGCACATATACCACCCTCGTGAATTTATGGCAGAATGTGATTACTTAGGAAGAGAAATAAATAACAGAGAGCAAAACAAGAAGGGAGAGAAGGTTTCTTAGAGATTTTAAAGTATGTGTTTCAAGGTCCTGACAAACTAAACACAGGACGCTAATGATGGTTACTTCTCAATCTGACTGCTGTGTTCAGGAAAGGAATGTAAGCCTTCAAAAACAGATGATTACACTAAAATGGTGGAAATGAATAAGAGTGTGTTTTTGTAAACTGACTGAAGATAGGTTATGGTTCAGACAAAACAAAGGCAAACTCAGATCAGAGCTGTGACTGCATGAGACGTGAACACACACACACACACACACACACACACACACACACACACACACACACACACACACACACACACACACACACACACACACACACACACACACACACACACACGTGACCAGACATCTCCTTCATAAAACGAATAATAAGAGTAATAATCGGGCAGTTCGGTGTGTGTGTGTGTGCGTGTGTGTGTGGTTAAAACGAAGCAGCCTGCAGTCGCTCTTTAGCTGTCTAATGAAGGTAAACGCAGTGTGTAAAAGGCACAGTTCCACGTGAAGAACCTGTAACTTTCTCGTGCGCACGAGAACGTATATTGTGATGAGCAAAACCATGTCACTTGGCCCAGGTGGTTTCCACAAAATGGACAAAACAAGTTTAACGACCATAAACACACTGATACCGTCCATAGGTACCGGCGGTCTATCTGCAAAAATAAACTTAAGTTTGTGTCATCATCACTTGCACGTCACTTCTGGTATGATGGGAATTCCCTTTCCGGTTTAATTCTCTAGTTTGTTAAAGAGTTTCGGCAAATGTTACATTACATTATTACATTACATGTCACTTGTTAGACGCTTTTATCCAAAGCGACTTACATACATTCAGTACTGAGGCCAATCCACAGGAGCAATTTGGGGTGAAGTGTCTTGCCTAGGGACACAACGACATGCTGACTGCAGTGGGATTCGAACTTGCTAACCCGTGATTCAAGGTTCAGCACACAATCCCACTGAGCCACAGCCTCCCTGCTAAAGTGTTTCGGGAAATGTTAAAGTGTTTCGACACTTGTAAATTAGTTTTATAACATTTAATTTTGTTTTTATAAAATGTAAATTTGTCTCTAGCTTTGTAAAAGTGTTTCGCATCTTGTTAATTTGTTTTTGTTAATGTTAAATTGTTTTTTCTTTGGTAAAAGTGTTTTGCTAATGTAATTTTGTTTTATAAAATGTAAATTTGTTTTATAAAATGTAAATTTGTCTCAAGCTTTGTTTAAGTGTTTCACACTTTGTAATTGTCGATTGCCCTTCTCAGCCACCGTATGCAAGTGCTTTTTCAGAGTTCCCATCAACAAACAGAAAGAAAAAAAACTCCCTACAAATGGTACATAGGTTAAATTAACAAATGAAAAAGGAACAAGTTATTATATACTGTACTTACTTTAAGTGTTACAGCAGCTGCTTTGATAATGAAATCATTAACAGACACTTTGATTTGATCTGAAGAGAGAAAAGAAAATACATTTGTCAGAACGGTTTATGCAACAAATGGACACATGAACATTAATTTTGTGAAGTGTGACACAGCTGCACATTGAAAATAAATGATACAATACATTAAATCTGGGGGAAATCTTCTAAATCACCTATCTCTCTATACGAGTCACTATTTGCTCGCTCCTCTCTGTGGGTGAGACCTGTGGGATGTGTTTTGGCCTGGCATCGCTGCCAACTTGTACCAGTGTCCATTAGTGCGGTACCAGACGGTTATGAATGCTGTGAGCGGCATGATTAACGAGCTAACCGTGAAATCGCGCTGCTCCTGAACAATGAGAGACCACAAAAACAACCGGGCAGAGAATCCCTCAGTACACACACAACCTCGCTAATAGGTCTGGAATGGCCGCCCCATTTCCTCCATCACTGAGACAGGACCCAGAGAGATTTACTGTTTGTTTGACAGCCGGGCACAGTTAGGCTAAATAAGGCCAATACGTGGTAGTGTGTTGAACCAAATGTTTAAAAATAGGAAATTGGTAAAGCACTCTTGCTATATCAACAGAAAATGTCCCAAAGTAAGCAACGGTAACATTTTAGGAATCCATGGAAAGAAGCCGTTGAGGATAAATATTTTCTTGGCTGAATGCAGCAAAATGCTGAAGAGTTTGGACATATAAGCAATGTTCTCTTTCTTTGGTTGTGGTGTGAATCTCCCTTTCCCTAAAACACAAGCACACATCCTAATGGGTGTTGCACAAGACGCTGCGGTTATTTCAATCGCAGTTGCTAGGGAAGTGTGTGAGGCATAGAAAGTCACACAGCAGCTTGACAAAGCATGACCAAAACACTGCTAGTAATTTATTTATTCTACTTACACTCAAGTTTTCAATCTATCCATACAGTACCTAACAAACTGATACTGTGTGGATAGTCTTTTAAATAATTTCTTCATCTGAATACTGATGTGCACCAAAGAGCAAACACTCCAACAAATCCATTTGATCCACTGTGAACCATAGAGAAACCATTACTTTGCTTCAGTATTTTCTTCCTCTAAGCAAAAAGGAACATCCTTATGAATACAGTCGTACTGTTATGACTGAAAAACAGCTTCCATTAACTTACTTGCTTATTTACTACGTTTGATAGTTAAGTGCTGGATCTGGACTAAATGGATGTTGTCTTATCGGCCTTACAATTATTAAGTTGTACAGAATAAAGAAACATTTAATCTTGTCATTCCGATAAGGATTTTTCCAAGATACGTACTATTAAGTCATTTTCACCTTAATTAATCTTACTAATCCATGACATGTGAACCCTCACCCACCCACGCCATGCCAGGTTATTAGACACAGGATGGAGAGAGATACTGGTTTGAACCAGAGCTACATGACCAACCTGAGACCTCATGTACCAGAGTTCCTCTAAATGCAAAAGACCTCTTTGTCAAGAGGGCAGTCATGTGAAAAACCCGGAAATCTTCAACTTCACGGACATTTTCCCTTGGAATAAGACATTCACTCAAGACATGACGCTTACAAGTGAAGAATAGCGCTAATGTACAAACACTCCCTCAAAGTTGAGTGTTTTTTAGTTTTTTTTACCTCGGGCCAAGTCTTTGCGGAGACTCATGACCGCCGCCATGTCACAGTCTACGGATGCATACGAATGGGGGATGGTGGTCTTCGATTGCGTTAGCCTTTGAGCAATAATGCGACGGACATTCGAGGCTGGGATCTCAGTGAAAGTGCCCTGAGGAAGACAAGGGGAGGGAGGGGGAGGTAAATAGTTGAATGAGGAGAAAGGGCAAGGGACGAGAAAAAGATTGATAGCTGGAAATATTTCAGCTGTCATCAATCACTCAAAGAATGCATAGTGTTAACAATGTAAAGAAACTATTAACAACCTTGGTTTTAATGTGTTAATTATTTAATGATAGAATCAATGTTTTTTGTCAAATATGTGGTTGTTATTACCCTGTTTTGACATCAAAAAGTCATATTTTACAGCATAAACATAATAATAATAAAGAGCGGGACAGAATATGGTGTAATAAACTATCAATGACTTGGTGGGTGTAAGTACAAGTAGCATCACAATATGAAAATATATCAGTTATTTGGAAAATAAGTGTATTTTGTGGTATTGCAAACGCTGCACAATATACTTTTGATGCACTTCAATTCAGGGGCGTGCAATCGATATGAAACAAAATCAAATCCCCATTTAAAATTAGTTACATTTACAGTATATCAACTCAGAAAAAACAACTAATATATGATTAGTCAATGTTATTATGGGGTTCTTCAGACATTATAATGAAAAACAGTATAGTCATAGATCTACCGGTAAATAGATCTCCTGTTGTTCACTATAAAGAGCTACGTTGCTTATTTCAAAGTACAATTATCTGTTAAATATTTCAAAATATGAGCATATCTTATAAATAATGATATGTATTGATGTTCTCCATATGCATCAATAATATTGGATCGTTAATCGTTGTATTGATTTATAAATATCCCGATCGATGGAATCTAACACCTCCATTAATAATGAGCCCAGTCCATGTGCTCCGAGGCAAACGGATATATAAAGGGATAGGACTACAAGAGTTAAAATGCCAACTGCAGTCATGAAATACTTAAAATGGTCCTTCATCATTCGTATTCGGGTCCTGACACAAGTCATTTAGGGCCTGTGGCTAATGACACTTTATTTATTTATTTGTACTATCACAAAACAGACAGGTGTTTTTGTGAAAAAGAGATAGTGTGAGGCGTGTTCACCGGTGCTCCTGGTTTCCCTGGTACAGAGAGAGGAGGGATGTTGGGTCTGCTGCCTGGGGGTGGGGGGGCAGCTGCCGGGGTGTGGGCCGGACTCGGGGCAGCGGGGGCTGGAGCTGCTTTGGCGGCGGGAGATATCTTCAAGAGATTCAATGCATCCCTGTTTAAGAGAAACAAAAAAAACAAAAGATATAACATGCATTTTTTTAAATGTGCACTTGAATATGAATTCATACAATCATTTAGTGTTTCTATAATATTGGTATTATTCTCGAAAAAGATACCCAAACACAAACTGCCAACTTTTTGATGGCAGGTTTGCATTGGTGATAAGGAGGAAGAGATACTTCTGTCTTTAGGCTTCACTTTTTTATTAATGTGCAGGTATGCATTCTTTATACATATTTTAATACCATTCGGCCACTTGTGGTGTAAGTGACAATAGAGGTTCAACAAGCTATAAATATATGAAAAAAAAACTATAGAAATCAACACTCACTAACTAACTGTCAGAACTAGATAAAATATGCAAAATGTTAATAAAAGTTCATTCACAAACATTTACACTGGAACAAATGTTTCCAGACGTATATTTTTAAGACTGCAATGCTTTTGTTTTATTTAGGTTTATTTTTGTTGACGTGCGAAATGCACTGAGTCCCAGTGTGCCTCTGTAAACACATGAGCGATGCCGTTTCAAGCCTCTGGCAAACTTTTTTCTTTTATGCTGTTTTTTTATCTACATTTCTAGATTTGTTTTAACCTTTATTTTACCCGGATGGCCTCATTTCTGCTTTGAAAGCTAAATCCAACAAACTTCCTTTTGAATGATGAAACCCTGTCACTTTTTGTTTTGCTCTGACCAACATAAATGACATGATGTATGAAAAAACACTGGCATACGGTACGATAATACATAATTCACTCATTTGCTCCCACTTGGCAAGCTTATAAGCAGCACTGTGGTAGTTGTATCTGGGTTGTATTTGTGTCAGGCTTGTAGACAGAGGTAACTTTCGGCTATCCTCCAGTGGATGGGTGTCATGAGAATAATTTGCCAGTTACAAACAAACCCCATCAGGGTACGGCTAGACAGGATCAGGCGTCAGCTGCAGCAAGGGACAGATATATTCAAAACCTTGGCTTCATTATACTTCCCACTATCAAGGCGAGCCGTCGACATCCATAATTTTTAAACGGCATATTTTCCTAAGGCCCTACAATATAATAGCAAAGGCCATTTATTTTTTGGTATAACCAGTTTTAAATTGCAGTGTTAATCTAATTCCCCATTAATCCCACGGCTAACAGAGATCCTTTCTACCTCGAGCGTACAGTAAAAAGCCAGTATCATTAAGCTTGTTATTAGAATACAATCTATTACATTACACTTCCCCATAAGACATACAGAAAGCATTTCACAGATTAATGTCTCTTCTATTATGTTAATTTAGAACATTTGAATTGGTCTGAATCTTGCAGAACTGAAGTGTTGGTAGTATACAGGGTAAGGAGAAAGGTTATGAAGAAGGGAATCTCAATTTACTGAAAGATCTGCCCTGGATTTGTCCCCCCCCCCTATTCAGCAGTGAGAGGTAGGAGGGGCAGGTATCAGGTGTGCCTGCTTGAAGTGCTGTGGTTCCAGTTCAGTGCTCTGGGGTCCACCTACCCACATGCATCCACTCTTTTGTCTGGACCAGCTGCCTCTGACCTACACATGTAGCCGGGAACCGTCTGGGCCCCACAGCTATTTTTCTACACTTCCCACTCTGAGCTGTATGTTTTTATTTCCTTTTAGCGCACTAGCTCCTCCCTCTCCTTTTCACTGATAGGATTATTTGTTTGTGGAAGGAGTAAGGACTGAGGTTTCATGGAAATCCCCCAGATAACCTGAGAGTACCACAACAATGGTTTAATGATTACTGAGCGCCACATTAAAAAGAAGAAAAGAAAGCACAGCGCTGCACAGATTTGCAACTGTAATTGGAATGCTTTGAAAAGGGTAGAGAGCAAGGATATTTAGACACATATTATAAATAAAAGGTTATAAAACAACAGTAAAAGTGAAGACAAGAAAAAGATCCAAATTACTGAGTTGTGTAAACTCCACCATATCCTTCAATGATAATGTATTAAGAATATCCAATAAAAGTTCAAGAGGAAGGCAAGTCAACAGCAGCCTTCAGTGGACACTTGTGGATGACGCCATAGATACCGTTTGTGTAGCTGGTTGGCATGCACTTTCAACACTGACCATTTACACCCGTACTGACAGCCAAGGCAAAGGAGCCTCTGAGAGACTGGGAGAGGATGAGTAGAATATTAAAGAGGGAATGAGGCGGCGCGGACGGACGGACGGACGCACGCACGCACAATTCATGACTATACAAAACATAATAACAACACTGTAGGAAAAACATATCAGGCTTCGACTTTTGATTTTATATTTTTGTCATTAGCAGGTATTCTGAGTCATTTGAAGTAATGTTTGAACTTCAGCTAAACTGCAGTTCTGGTGCTGTACATGTCAGAGAGTAGGGGATCAACAAAATATCTCTGTTATAAAATGCCTGGGCTGGTCAAGGTCAAACTAAACTACTCTTTAGGGACAGCCCTATTGCTATGTAATCCCTTTTTGTAAGTTAAGATGTCACAGCTCAAAACAACGATTTTAGATGTTGCATAAAAAGCATCAACTTGAAATAAACAAAAGTTTCAGCGTGATACATTTGACATTTGCATTAAAGCAACACTTAGTTCAAACCAACAAGCAAAACCAATACAGCTGCCTATAGCCAACAGTAACACTTACAAATAGCTTAAAGTTGCTACAAGAGGCTGACAGCTTGAAGCTAATTGGATTCACTGTTGGAGTTCCAAAGTGTATCATGCTTTAACCACCGTAATAATTCATGCTTAATATGTGAAATCAAAAGGGTACAATGAATATATGCAGTAGTAAAGCAGTTAACTGAAAACTTGTTTTTATTTATAAAGTTATAGCCTTACCTTTTTTTATCATTCATTAGAAATTTAAAGGGCTTTATAGGTCATGGGTTTCTCCTCAGTGTCACGTCTCCTTAACAACGCGACTGTTCTGCTGCATTTAAACAAGTTACGGTCATATATTCATGTGGTATGGACCACAATGAGGTAAACATTTTTGAAACCGTTCCATCCTCGTGTTCTCATTGCCTATTGGCTAATATTTCTGACATTGGTTGGGGAGAAAAAAGTAACAGAAATGTGTTCTTTGTACCCAATTTGTATTTAAACCTTGTCGGGGATTATATAACGTGCCATGATCTCATTCCTGGGTTGCGTGACCTCTTGGTATTCATGCCCACTATAGAAGAGGGGCCTCACTAGAGAAGAGGGTGGAATGGGAGGGGTACCTTTCCCTGGTTTCAGTTTTATCTGATGTACCAAGGGACAAAGGAAGGGAAATGGGGTCTATTCTGCCCTCTCATGAAGAAGCTTAGCCTATGTGAGCTTTTCTCACCAGGGAGATTTGGTTTCCAACAAGAGCACAACTGTTCAGTCTCACAACACACCTAAGCTAATAGCCTATATGTCCGGATCTTCTTTGATCAAAATGAAAATATCTTAAAGCCTATAGACTAAAAGGATAAAACCAATAGAAAAACGTTGCCACCAATGGCTTCTCCACTTTCCCAAATAGTTAGGAAACAGTTTAAAAAGGAAGTTTTTAAACTTCACATATTTGATTTTCTTATTATGGATCTATTAGCAAGTTGTACCAAATAATAAACATTGTAATCATCAGGTTCTATTCATGAAGTTAGGCATTCAACAAAATTAAAGCTACATGAAAAAAGAGAAAGAATACACTCTCTTTACTTATTTTTGTCTGTGGCTTTGCCAGTAAACAACACATAATTATATTCATTATGTTCTTAGCATGCTGTACAGTTTTTTTATTAAACCTCTGGTGTCCAGTCTTTTATCCCCTGCAGTACATTACTTTCTTTCAGCAGCAGCTTTTGCTTTCTGAAGACATTCTCAGCTAATTAACCAGCAGAGGAGTCTGTGAGTATATCCGCGAGCCAATCCTGAGTCCAACAAATGGTTGAATTAACCGAACAAGCGTGCCAAATCAAACCATTTGGATATAATTAAAACTACATTACTAATTGAACAATTTAATCTTCAAAACCTAGAAATCACGTTGACACACACACACACACACACACACACACACACACACACACACACACACACACACACACACACACACACACACACACACAGCAGAGAACACACCCTTATTCATTAACCTAGACAATTATATTCTTAATGGCAAATAAAGAGGGACAAAAACACTGAAATTGCATTTTCTCAACAGTGTTGTGATTGTAATTGTGTTGGCAGAGTTAAAAAAAACAGAAAACAATTGTTTTATATAATGGCGCTCAACAGAAGCTTTCAGTAGTAAACACATTAATTATTAGGATTGATAAACAAGGTGTTTGTATTCACACACACTGTTGGGGTAAAACTGTAAATGCATCTTTTAATGATCCTTTCTGTATCTCAAATTAAGAAGTTATTATTTGTTGCCTTTTGGTATATAAAGCTTCAAATACATTTCTCCTATACTGTCTAAGACATACATCTCGGAAAACATATGGTCTGCGTTTCTATGGTCACCAGTGGGTTCTGGAGACTGGGTTGCTATGGCGACTGAAGTTGCTTAATGAGATTCCCCAGCAGGGTGTTAGCTGGGTAAGGAGAGTATTAAATCAGGTCCCTTCTGACAGCAGGTAACCAATGGTGATGTGTGTGTGTGTGTGTGTGTTCACAGCTTCCTGTAGTGTGAATTCACCACATAACAGGATTAAAGAACGTGAAATCTTAACCACCTCGCATTTTTTTCACTTATCTAGTCTCCCCCACATTTTCGTTGTCATTCACACTGCCTACACATTGGCTCTAACCCGCCTTGCCCTGACTGACATCAGTTCCCCTCAGAGGGACTTCAGTGTTATGGTGGCCACCAGGGGACCCTACCATCTGTGCCCTTAGGCTTGTTACTATAATAAACAAGCATAGCTGCCACACAGAGGTTGCGCTAGACTTTTTTGCATCGTAACATTTCCGTCAAAATCCATTATTAACGTCGGCCTGTACACAACTAGC